GGGGGGGGACAGTCCGCCCCTCCCGCTGCCGGTGTAGGAACCGGCTCGGAGCAGTGAGGCCGCCCTCGGAGCGGTATCACCGAGCGGCAGGCGAGCACGGGGGCTCAGCCGCTAGGAGAAGGCGGTAGGGCCGAGCCCGGTGGCAGGCAGCGGTCCGGGATCCCGGTGGGTCCGGGACACCTGTGGGTCCGCCTCGCCCCGCTCCCGCAGGGGGCTCGCAGTGCGCATGCTCCGGGCGGGCCGGTGCCGCAGCGCCCCCTGCGGGCAGGGAGGAGCGCGGCCGCACCGGGATCCGCACCGGGAGCGGCACCGGGATCCGCACCGGGAGCGGCCCCGGGATCCGCACCGGGAGCGGCCCCGGGATCCGCACCGGGAACGGCTCCGGATCCGCACGGGGAGCGGCCCCGGATCCGCACCGGGAGCGGCACCGGGATCCGCACCGGGAGCGGCCCCGGGATCCGCACCGGGAGCGGCACCGGGATCCGCACCGGGAGCGGCCCCGGATCCGCACCGGGAGTGGCACCGGGAGCGGCCCCGCGATCCGCACCGGGAGCGGACAAGGATCCGCACCGGGAGCGGACAAGGATCCGCACCGGGAGTGGCACCGGGATCCGCACCGGGAGCGGCCCCGGCCGGAGCCGCCCGCCGGGTCCGGTGGCACGGGGCCGCAGAGCTCGGGCTCCAGCCGTCCCTGTGCGCCCGCATCGCCTCAGAGCCGACAGAAACGTTGGAATGAACGGCTCGGGTCGGAAGGGACGCGGAGGAACATCCAGCGCCATGGCAGGGACACCTCCCACCATCCCGGGCTGCTCCAGCCTGGCCCTGGGCACTGCCAGCCACGGCTGCTCTGGGAATTCCATCCCAGCCCCTGCCCACCCTCCCAGGCAGGAATTCCATCCCAAAATCCCATCCATCCCTGCCCTCTGGCAGCGGAAGCCGTTCCTTGTATTCCTGTCCTTCCACCCCTTGTCCAAAGTCTCTCTTCCCATATTCCTTGTGGGGTCCCTTCAGGTCCTGAAGGCTGCAATGAGCTCGCCCAAAAACTTCTCTTCTCCAGGCTGGACAATCCCACTTCTCTCACTGGCAGCTCCCAAATTCCCAGCACATTCCCAGGCAGGATGGCCACGGGGCTGCACCCGGGATGGATTGACAGGATGAATTATCGGCCTCTGGGGTTTCCATAGCAATCTGGGGGATTTTTAGCACCAACCCTGATTTTTGCCAGCCTAGAAGGGAAAAGTTGGAAACCTGATGAGCATCCTGCTCTTCCTGAGAAACTGTTAATTGCCTTTTTTGATTAATTAGTACGTGGGGTTGATGGCAAGGAGAGGAAAGTGCTGGAAAACCTTTCCCAGTGCAGCGTTTCACCCCATACACTGAGGTTACCCTGAAATCATCCAGTCCAACTCCTGGCCCTGCACAGACACCCCAACACCCTATCCCAGAGTGTTTTCCAAAGGCTCCTGGAGCTCCGGCAGGGTTGGGAATATGCCCGTTCCCTGGGGAGCCTGGGCAGTGCCCACCACCCTCAGAGGCAGAACCTTTCCCTGAGCTCCATCCCAAATCCCCGGCACAGCTCCAGCTGTTCCCTGGCTCGTGTCCCTGCTCCCAGAGCAGAGATGGGAGCTGCCTATCGGGGAAAAGCTGCAAACCACAATGTATTTATTATTATCATTATCATTATTACTATTATTATTGTTATATGGAAGGTATTTTTAATAAGCAATGGGTTCTGTCGCAGAAGGGGCCACAAACACTGACCAGAGAAGGAACCGGGACCCATCCCCATCCCTTCCCCTCTACATCCCCCCAGCACTTCCCTCCTCACCGGGGCCGCCGGCGGAGCCTCGGGCCGAGCCCACCGGGCGCTGCCCTGCCCCGGGGCACCCACCTGGTGCCATCCTGGGGGCAGCACCCACCGCCTGCCCACCCCTTCCCCGTCCCGCAGTGCCCGCGGCACCGCCTCCATCCCCGGTCCCGCCGCCGTTCCCCCCCACCCCCGCCACCCCGCGGTGCTGCCCCGGTTTGCGGTGCGCGGCCCCTTTAAGACTCTCGCGGGGGAGGCGTGGCCTGGCGGGGCGTGGCTCGCGAGGGGGGCGTGGCCGGGGGGGCGCGCGCGGCGATTGGGCGGCGCTCGCGGCCCCGCCCCCTCCCTCCGCCCCGCCCGGCGCGAGGCCGTCACGTGACCCGGCGGCGGCCGGCGCGGCGGACGCTGCAGGCCCAAGATGGCGGCGGAGCTGGTGGAGGCGAAGGTGAGGGAAGCGGCGCCGCCGCCCCGCCCGCGGGGCCCGGCCGCCACCGGGCGGCTCCCGGCGCGGGCACACGGCGTGGGGGCGGTGCTGCGAACCGCGGGGGCGGCGCTCCGGGGCCTCCCCTTCGCCTTTTTTACCTCAGACACTGCCCCGCCCCGGCCTCAGGGCCGCAGCCCCCGCCGGACCTCCCGGCGCCGAACCGGGCCGAAGCGGGCCGCGGCGCTGCCCGCGCTCCTCGGGGCTGCCCCCGCCGTGGCTTTCCCCCCGAATTCCCGCGGGGAAGGCTCGCTGGTGCCGGTGCCGCTCCGGGGGTGGAGCGGCTCGGTGCGGAGCTGTCCGCTGGGACGGGCACTGCCGGGGGCAGCGGCGGCCCCGCGCCCCTCCGGGATGGGGGAAGCGCGGGTGCGCTCGCAGCTGTGCGGTTCGTGCCCTGCAGAGCAGCGGGAGCTTCTCCCGCTGCCCTCGGGATGGCGGCACCGCGGGACCGGGAGAGCGGCCGGTGCCCAGTGCGGTTGGGGAGCCCCGGCCGCGTTCCCGGGCGGTGTTCCCGAGGAAGCGCTCCCCGCCCGCAGGAGCAGCCCCTCGGCAGGGATGGGGCTGGCTGGCCGCAGCAATCCCACCGGGAGCGGCTTTTTTTGGGGGGGGCTCTGCAATTGCAGAGCGGGGAAGGCGCTCCCGGCATCGCGGTGGCCGCAGAGGGTTCTGCGGGCTCTGAGCCGTCCCGCACCGGCGTTCCCGCGAGCAGCAGCGGCCGGGAGCGTCGGGAATCCCGGCGATCCATGTGCTCTCCCTGCTGCCGCGGGGCAGCTCTCGGAGCTCTCTGGGTTTGCTTTGTCTGGGGTTTGTTGTTGTGTCGCTGCTCAAATCTCATCGCACTGCCGGGCCTTCATCCCTTCAAAATGGAAACTCTGCGCTCCGGCTCCGCTTTCCAGGCCAAGACTCCTGGTGAGGTGCTCCAGGAGGAATTCCTGTGCTCCTGGGATGCCCTGGTACCTCCTGCTGCTGTGTCTTGATGAATTTATCTTTCCAAATGCACCTTTTAGCCTCAAATCCCTCAGGGACAAGAAGACTCTCTCCATTTCCTAGCACACTTTAATGATCCTGGTGGGATTTCATCAGCCTTGATGATCTTGGAGGTCTTTTCCAACCTTAATGATCCTGATTTTTTTTTTTTTAGTTGAAGAAAACTGAGGCACAAAGTAGATTTCTCCAGGATTTCACAGGTGGTGTCTGGTGGAGCAGCACCATGAATCCAGGGCTCTGAAATTCTCACTTTCTGGCAATTAAACATCTTTTCTCTCCTCTTTAGTCATCAGTCTTTTTTTCCCTTCATCTGGGATATTTTGGGACTCATCACGACTCCCAGAAGTTCTAGCTACAGACAGTGACATAACAGCTTTCGGGTTTTCTGATTAAATGACATATGTAAGGGAAAAGGAGAAAATCAAATGGCATTTTCTCTCTCATTTAATTCCCACACATCCAAAAGTGGCTGTGAAATGTTTCTGGAAACAGTTGTAGCTTTCTTAATTAAAAAAAAAAAAAATCTGTAGCTGGTTTATTCCAGGAAATGATAAGATTGTTAGATTATCTTTTATGCTTTTTTTATTAATTATTAATTCAAGAGTGGGGTAGAGGCTGGGGAACATCTGCTGGATTTTTTTGGTGGAGTTTCTTCTTGAATTCCCATATTCCCCACAAACCAGGAAGGCTGCGGAGTGAATATCTACCAGGTTAATTTGCAGAGCAACTTGAATTTTCTCAGCTATGTACTTTATAAGCTGTTGTTTTGCAATTCCAAGGCTGCTTGGTGTTTAGGGAGCTGAAATGCCAGCCTGGAGCTGTGGGTTTAATGGGGAGAATTCCTGGTTTCTGATGGGAAGTTGCCTTGTGGCCTTTGACTCTGCTGACAGTTACAGGCCAGACTTGCCCCAGAGAGGGAATTTTGGAAGGCTGAGCTGGGTTTTGCTGCTTATCAGGCACTGAAACTGATAACTGCACCAAGGCAGCTCCTGGCTGGGATCGCAGGGAAGTGCTTGGCATTGCTCTCCTGGGAACACTCTGCTCCCTTCAATAATCGGAATGTCCTTGCATGCTCTAAAATATGTGGGTTTTTACAGATCCTCTGCATGTAGGGAGGATTCTGGAGGGGTTTTCCCATCCAGAAATCCAGAATCGGTGGCCCCAGTTCACCTCAGCCTCGCCTAACTCATTTTGCTTTCCTTCCTGTGCCTTGCACTGACACCATTTGGGATGAAGCTTTCCGTGTTTCTCTGGGAATTCGGGATGCCTCAGGCTGCTGAAGGAGCTCATGAGCTCTTTCACAAGTGAGGCCTCTTGCTTTAGAGCTTTGAGGTCGCTCCTGCTTCCAGCTGGGCTGTCTCGAGGATGTTTAGCATCTGTCCGAGTGATTTTTGAGTCATTTGATGACTGTGCTGGTGGTTTTGTCCTTCAGGTGATATTTCAGTGGGTGATCTCTGCGTTTGCATTGCTCAAACAAGAACTGAGAGCCAAAATTCGGTTGACAGCAGCGGGTTTGGACAGGTTTGGGGTCTTTCTTTGAGGGGAAAATTTTGAATATCTTGCCTTGTAGCTATAAAGTGACAACTAAACCTTTGCCTTTTATAACTATGAGAACATCTTTTAATTTTTTATCCCCCAGAACATGGTGATGAGTTTCCGAGTCTCAGATCTTCAGATGTTGCTGGGTTTTGTTGGCAGGAGTAAAAGCGGACTAAAACACGAGCTAGTGACCCGAGCTTTGCAGCTGGTCCAGTTCGACTGCAGCCCCGAGGTGTTCAAGAAGATCAAGGAGCTCTACGAGACTCGCTACAACAAGAAGGGCTCGGAGGTGGCGCCGCCGCCGGCGCCGCACCGCGCCGAGGCGCTGGCCCTGCACTCGTCCTACGAGCGCGGCGGCGCCGTGCCCCGGCCCCTGCCCGCCGCCAGCATCGACTACCCTGCCCTCTATGGCAAATACCTGAACGGACTGGGCAGGTTGCCCCCCAAAGTGGCCAAGCCCGAGGTTCGCTTGGTCAAGTTGCCCTTTTACACCACGCTGGACGAGCTGCTGAAGCCCACAGAGTTAGGTGAGGTTCGGGGTGGGGTGGGGTGGGGCGGGGGGTGTTTGTGTTGGGAAATAAGTTGTGGTTGTAAAGGGGATTTCTAAAGTTGTGGGGTGGGAGAGGCTGATGGATAGGGTGGTGAGACCCACCCCCCCCTTCCCCCTCTCCCTCTCTTTTTCTTTTCCTCCCTCTCTCTTTCTTCTACCCGCTGTCTCCTTCACCTCTCTCTCCCTTTCCTCCCTCCCTCTCTCCCTTTCCTCCCTCCCTCTCTCCCTTTCCTCCCTCTCTCTCTCCCTTTCCTCCCTCTCTCTCTCCCTTTCCTCCCTCTCTCTCTCCCTTTCCTCCCTCTCTCTCCCTTTCCTCCCTCTCTCTCCCTTTCCTCCCTCTCTCTCTTTCCTCCCTCTCTCTCCCTTTCCTCTCTCTCCCTCTCCCTTTCCTCCCTCTCCCTTTCCTCCCTCTCCTCCCTCTCCCTCTCCCTTTCCTCCCTCTCTCTTTCCTCCCTCCCTCTCTCTTTCCTCCCTCTCTCTCTCTTTCCTCCCTCTCTCTCTCTTTCCTCCCTCTCTCTCCCTTTCCTCTCTCTCCCTTTCCTCTCTCTCCCTCTCCCTTTCCTCCCTCTCCCTTTCCTCCCTCTCCTCCCTCTCCCTCTCCCTTTCCTCCCTCTCCCTTTCCTCCCTCTCTTTTTCCCCCACCATCTCCTTCAGCTCTCTCTCTCTCCCCTTCTTCTCTTTCTATCTTTCCCCTCTCTCTCTCTTCCCCCCACTCTTCCCCCCCCTTCCCCCTTCTCTCTTTCCCCCTCTCTTTTTTTCCCATCTCCCTCTCTCTCTCTTTTCCCTCCCTCTCTCTCTTTACCCTCTCTCCCTCTCTCTCTTCCCCACCCCTCTCTCTCCCGCCATGCTCAGAATTTACAGAGGAATATTTCTCTCTGGGCTTGCCAGTGCTTAAAAGTGGCTGACAAAAGAGGGAGAGCAGCTTTTTACAGAAAAGGAGAGTGCTGGGAAAGAGGGAATAGCTTCAAACTAAAAGAGGAGAGATGTAGATGGGATATTGGAGCAGTTCTTCCCTGTGAGGGTGAGGAGGCCCTGGCACAGGGAGGGAGAAGCTGTGCCTGTCCTGGAAGTGCCCAAGGCCAGGTTGGAGCACCCTGGGACAGTGGAAGTTGTGGGATGGAATGGGATGATCCTTCAGGTCCTTCCCACTCCAAATCCTGTGCTCCTGTGGTTTTCCTCAGACCTGGAACGTGGTGGTCACTTTGGGATGTAACTTGGAAGCCCACCTTGTTTGGTTCCTGTGGATTATGGGGCCATATTCTACACTACTGCTGGTTTTCAGCACTAAAAATCCCTGACCTGAAGCATTCTATGGATAAAAGAGGATGTATTTTTGACCCTCAAACTATATTTTTGACATTTTTTTGGTGCTTATCACAGTTATTTGTGTGTAGTGCTGTGTGTTTTGATGGGTAACTAGTAAAACTGGAAGAAGAGCTTTTTCCCTGGGGTGTGGAGACTGATTTTTCTTTGTTTTAGTTTTGAGAAACAAGGAATGTTGTTCACTGATGTTAAATAGAATGTTCTGGTAGCAAATTCAGTGTGTCCAAAGAAGTTGAGTTCTGCTGAGCGTCTCATAAATTCATGTGGCAATGTCAGAATTCTCTGCCAAATGATTCTACAACTTGAGCTGGTTTGCCTTTGCTGAAAAGATATTTGTTGTGGCTTGGAGTGGAAAAATAGATAAAGATTTGATTGTGAAGAAGCAAAAAGATAAAGGTCTAATTAGTCACATTCTATATAGTTTCTTCTTCATTTGAAGGCATAACTGCTGTGACAAAACAGCTGAGTGGTGCCAGAGTGCCAGAGTCAAGCTCAAACGTTGTAACAGTGTGAGGAATGGTTTGTTCAGTGTTAAACGTGTGTTAGTCAGCAATTCCAATATGGGAATTTTGGAGGAAAACAAATTTCCAAGAGGTGGAAGCATCCAGAGACAGCAGGGGCTGGATACGCTCGCTGGGATTACCAGATTTTGTTCCAAGGTGCCATTAAATGTCCCCTGCATCAACTCAGAGCCAGGGCAGCCTCTGCCCTGGGAGGTGACACCTCCCCGGGGCCAGCCAGGGCTTCTGGCTGATTTCCCTGCTGCTGGCAGAGTTTTCTGTGGAGCCAGGAGGAGCTGGCCACCAGCAGATGTTCAGGTCTCACACCCGACCAGGCTGCACCTCCCAGATTTTGGGTTTCTATTCCAGCAGCAATTTAATTTTTGTCTAAAGGAAGAGTGAGCTGATAGAAATGCAAAATAAACCACGAGCAGCGTCTCACTTTTCCTAATCAGGTTTGCTGTGTCTTTTGTGTGGCTGAACAATCAGCAGGACTCAGTTTATTGGCAGTTTCTTAATCAGAAACGTTAAAGTTACTTTTTGTTATTGTTCTTCTCAATCTTCACTTACTAAAAATACCTCATGAAATGTTTTATTTTCTGCTGGTTGTTTTAGTCAGGAGATATTTGGGAGGAAACTAGAACTAAACAAAAAGTTCCATAGAGATATCTTAATACTTACTTCTAAATTTTATTTTTGCAAGTTCCATTTGCATTTTTAAAGCAAAAAAGGGACCAAAGGGGAAGCACCTGGTGTGACTCAAGTTGTCACCAGGTCTTTCAAGAGCTGCTGAGGTTTTATCCTTCCTTCATCTCCTCTTTTTCATAGGAAAGTGCACTTTCCTCCTTCTGAAATCCTGTTGGCTTTGAATAACCATGCAGTGGAAGTCAGGCAAAGCAAAACACCCAATTCTTGCTATTGTAAATAATTTTTAAAAAGCTGTTTTAGCACTTCCTCTCTGTGTTCCTCCCGTGACTTTCAGCAGCTCAGGGTCTGAACTTTGCTTAGAGACACAAAACTGAAAATAAAACGTGTTTGGTTGAAGTACAGGTCGCAACAAAAGTTTCCCACGTCTCAAGCTTCATTTTTCCCCACATTAAATGCACTTGATCTTAAAATTATCAGTGTGCAAAAGGCCCCAGTTAATGCTTGGCTGTCTTAAGCCTCTCTGAGGGTGAGCTGCTGTCCCACCCTCAAGGTCAGGGGGTTTGAAGTTGTGTTTTGTCTCTTCCAGCTGCTTTTTGTGTTGCTTTTTTATTATCTGAGCTAATATTTTTTGTTGCTGGGGTTGTTTTCTTTCTTTTCCAGAACCCGCCTGCTCAGTCTGGTTGGTTTTGGGCTTTTGTGTCAGGCTCAGGTCTCCTCTTGGGCTTCTTGAGGATGTGACACCACTGATGTGGTGAGCTGATGGCTCTTGAATTATTTGAGGGGAGGAAAAATAATTTTTAAAAAAAGAGAAAAATCAAATCCAAAGCTTGTGTTGGTTGTACTGAACAGTGAGCAAAGCTTTAATCAAAGCAGAATTACCAAAACAGGTGAAAACTGCAATTCTGGGGTGTGGGAAAAAACAAGACCTGGAGGTAAACAGAGCATAACAATCACCTCGTGCTCAGAGCTGCTGTCCTCAGTTTGATGGACACTTTTTTCTTCCCTCCTCAGTTCCACAGAATAATGAGAAGCTTCAGGAAAGTCCGTGCATTTTTGCATTAACACCGAGACAAGTGGAGCTGATCAGAAATTCCAGGTACTCCTCACTGGGTATTAACAGCTGAGGAAAATGCAGCTGCATAATTCCATAATTCCTCCGTGTTCCCTGCCTGTGGAAGCTTTTGTTCTCTGCAAGGGAACAGGATTTGTGTGAGGACATCAGGCTGCTCCTGGTGTACAGCAAAGAGCTTTGGGGGCAGTGGGAGCTGCAAATTCACCCAGCCAGGTCCTTAAGTTTCACTTGTGCTGCTCTAACCTCCCTCTGGAATGGTGCATTTGGGCAGGAAAATCAGGATGAAATCATCGATGACCTAAATTCTCTGAGCTGAGCTGGTGGTGTGAGTGTCTGCAGCCTTTCCTCTTGTGCCAGGTTCAAAAGGCAGAGTGTGAGGCTGTTTGCATCTGAAAGGAAACTTCCTTGGTGGGGAGGAGGCTGCAGGAACTGCCCGAGGAAACATCTCGGATTAGGATTTACCCTGACCTCTGTCAGATGCAACTTTGGAGTCAAACAAAGGCTCTCCTCAGAGGTGGCAGTGCAGGCAGGGAGGTTTCCTCTTGGCTGACCTGCTGCCTTCGTGAAGAATTCTTCCAAAAACTCAACATAAAACCTTTGAATATTTCTCTTTATCATAAAATAAAGAGCTGGAGAAAGAATGTCTTGGTTATTTTGCCTCCTGGTAAAATATCCTTGTTGTGTTTTCCATTTCTTTCCCGATTCTGGTTAAAATCCTGTCAGGAATAGCCCTGATGGTTGCAATATTCACAGTGGGGCCTTTAATATTCAGTCCCTTGGTTTGCATGAAGAGCTTCAGCTGAATAATTAAACACAGAGAGTCTTGAACACTGTCAGGTAAACCTGACCTTAAAACCCAGTTTTTATAAATTCTGACAAATCACCAGAAGGCACCTGAACAGTTTTTAAAACCCAGAGAAAAGCTGTAGGTTGGTGCATCCAGGAAAAAATAATAATTACAGGACCACTGATACTTGCAGGGGGAATTGTACAATTTAAATAAAGTTCTGTGAGGTAATTTTTTGAAGTCCTATTTTTTAAAAATAGGAGCAACTGAAGTTCTTTAGTCTGGCAGTTGGTTTGGGTGGTTTTTTTTGGGGTAGGGATTTTTTTTTTTTTTTTTTTTTTGCATAATTGATTTGAAGTTTTCTGTTCTTTCATTTATCAGGGAGTTGCAACCTGGTGTGAAATCGGTTCAGGTGGTGCTCAGGTAGGTCTGTGCTGGGCTCATTGAACATCAGGGGCAGAGCAGGGGAGGAGGGNATATTCCATTGAGTTCCAACATGGATTTCATGGCTCCAGAGAGAATTTCCAGTGAACTTTTTGTTCCTGGGCCTCACAGGAGCATCTGAAACTCCACTTTTGAACCTGGAGCAGAAAGGGCAGAGTTCCACGTGGATGGGCTCTGCTGATGGAGCATGGATTGGGATGGGGCCTGTGGGAGCTGGGGATGTGCAGAGTGTTGGGATATTATGGGATGTGTTGTTTCTGCCCAGAATCTGCTACACAGACACCAGTTCCCCTCAGGAGGATCAGTACCCTCCCAACATCGCCGTCAAGGTGAACCACAGCTACTGCTCCGTGCCGGTGAGGACTGGGGGACTGGAGGGGAAAATCTGGGGAGTCTGGAGGGGAAATTTGTGGAATATGGAAGGAAATTGCTTTCCTGATGAATGCCACACTGTAGAAGTGTGCTGCTTAGTTTAAAGCTAATTTTTTAATGGATTAGCCATGTTGTTAATGAACTGTTCTGTATAAAGACTCCATCCTGTTTACTTTGTGCTCCAGCTGTACTCAGCTCCTTCCCCCCATCCCCGAGACCTGGGGCTGAGTGGATGTACCTTGAGTGAAAAATAAATCTCTCTAATCTTCCTGCCCTAGGGCTACTACCCCTCCAACAAACCCGGGGTGGAACCCAAGAGGCCCTGCAGGCCCATCAACCTCACCCACCTCATGTACCTGTCAGC